TACTGGGACCGCTGTACTGGGACAGCGCCTTTTATAGCCACCCCCATTGTGATGTGTCCCCTGGGGTGTCCCAGGGGCCGCAGCGCATCACAGACACCCCTTGGGCCCCACCCCGGCTCAGCCACAGCCTGGGATGGTGAATGCAACTGTGTTTGAACAAGATTTGATGGCAAGATGTACTGGGTTCTTTACTGCCTGGAGGCCAAGGTCAGAGAGAACTGTCAGAGAGTCCACCAGGACTCTCAGGCCTTTCTCCTCAGAGCTGGTCTCCAGCAGGGCAGCCCTCAACCTGTACTGGTGTATGGGCTTATTCCTCCCCAGGTGCACCACCCTACACATGCCCTTTTTGAAGTTCATCAGTTTCCTCTCTGCCCAGCTCTCCAGCCTGTCCAGGGCTCGCTGTATGGTGGCACAGCCCTCTGGTGTGTCAGCCACCCCTCCCAGTTCTGTATCATCAGCAAACTTTCTGACTTGCAGACTAATGAAAAACAAACGTCTGCCTACTGCTCCCATTAAGATGAGCACCAGTGTGAAAGGGGTCATCCTTTTTGTGTTACCCAAAGGAAAGGGTACTTTGCATTGTCTGGCATTAAGCCACATAGAGAAGCAGACCTGGATTTTAATGCTTGAGTTGGCTTGGGAGAAAGGAGTGTTGTGAAGCCAGGAGTCAGTGAGCTGGAGAAGTGGGAGGAGAGGAAAATTGTCTGCTTTTGGTGGCACTAGCAACATAAAACTACTGGCAGTGGGCTGCAGACGGGAAGCTTGGAGTGCATGGGGTTTTTTCAGTTGCTGGGGAAACTTAGGAAGTGGTACAGCCTGTTTCTGAAGAGCAGGGACGTGCAAAAATCTCCTGTGTAGAGTGACAGTTGTCACTGGCAAGTGGTCTTCTTGCCCAGGCTCTGGGAGAGTCTGTCCTTCCACCAGAGAGGTCAGGACCTCAGCATCAGAATTACTCTCTGTCAGTTGAGGCGTGAAGCCCAAACTGGCAGAGAGTAATTCTGAAAGGAAGAGGTCTCTAAAGCCATAGCTGCTTGGCTTATTAACTCCTAATTAATGTGAGGTTGTAGGAATGAAATAAAGAATCCCTTGTTTTCTTTGCACAGATTAATGTAATGTAAATTCATGGTAAGAAGCTGTGGAAAATATTACCCCTGTGAGAAATGATTTTTTTTCAAACTGTCTTGCTTTGAAAGCATGCTTTGTGGAGCTTGGGTAGAATTCGAAACCTGTTGTTTCCATAGTTAAAGAAATAATTAGTTGTTCTTGACTTTTAAAGCCACATGCAACTGGTGACCTTTAATTTTGTCCCCTTCATCCATTACACTCAGTGTATAACAATGCTGTGTTTTCTCCCATTTATTCCTGCCAGATGCGCTAGCTTGTGGAATAATTCACTTTCAAACGTGTCCATCTGCTTTGGCTACATCAAAGACGTATTTTAGACTTTAGGCTGTTTAAAATCTTTTTTGAAATTTAAGAGCTCATTTTGTTGCTTTTGGAGAAAGAGTGTGGGAGGGCATGCCTTGCTGTAGGCCTGGAGCCTCCGGAAGACAGCAGGCAGTCCAGGGGACGCAACCGCAGAGGTGGTGTGGGAGGTGGAAACCTCTTTCAGACTCCAAAGAGCGTCAGTCCTGTGAGCAGATCTTGCAGCTCCTCGAACTCCCCCAGTGCCTTGGCGTAGGCTTGGGGATCCTCCACCAGGCACTGGAACAGGTTGAGTGGCTCAGGTCGTTGGGTGGCTGGGGGCAAGATGATGTCCTCGGGCAAGAACTGGTTGCCAAAGATGAAGTGATTGAGGCGTTTGTCCTCCAGGCAGCTGCGCAGGTAGGCCATGACATCCTTCAGCTGGATGGCGACTACTGCCTTGGTCGAGCTTGTCACGGCGTACATGTTCAGGAGGTGCATCACAGCCGTCTTGATGGTATAGGAGGAAAGGACTGTGCCCGCCAGGCTAGTAGTGCAGAGCTGGAGGCACTGGAGCTGGACACTGTCAGGCAGGGCCTGCCTGGGCACGTGGCTGAAGAACTTTGCCTCAGCCACAGCAGAGCTCTCTGCCCACATGGTGCCTGGGGTGAAGATGGCCTCTGGAGCCTGGCTGCTCAGGAAGAGGTCCGAGTGGTCTCGCTGCACCCCAACGAGCATCTCAACACAGAGGGATCTTCCGGAGGCACTGGTCAGCTCCAGCTTGCAGGAGCGGCGGGAAGGCAGCAGCCTCAGCCCGTAGCGACGTGAATGAGGCAGCTCCTCCCAGGCTGAGGTCACCAAGCCTTGGATCCAGCGGGCGGTCTTCTGGGCATCGAGGTAGCGGCCGGTGCAGAGCTTGTTCAGGAGGCTGGAATCCTGATTTCTCTGAAGCGCCTTGTAAGGCTGGTGGACGAAGCACAGCATGTCCCCCACACGTGTGTCCTTTGTGCAGGTGCACACCAGCTCCACATGGACACGGTGCTTTGTCGGCGCGTCCCCCACAGTGCCCAGCTCCAGGTGGAAGGCGTGCCCACAGGGGGGTTTCAGGGGCACAAGCAGGGTGTACACAGCATCATGCCCACAGGGACTCCAACCTTCAAAGGCGCTGCCCACCCCGATGGCTGGCTGCAGCACCGGGAAGAAACTCTTGGACAAGCGCTTCTGCAAGGCACCGAGGAGATCGCCCACCAGCGTTTCCATCTCCCGTCTCCTGCAGGCCACGCTCCACGCTGACCGCCGGACCTTCTCCCTCACCAGCCGCAGCTCATCATGGCAATTGTCTTCCCTTTCTTCTCCGTCCTCCTCCTCTGTGGTGTTGCTGGACCTCTCCTGCTCTTTGCTCCTGTCTGGCGCATGGGTCCTTTTCCAGAGCCCCAAGTAGAGCCCAAAGAGCAGCACTAGATCTCCAGCAATGACCCAGGACTGCCACTGCTTCAAGGGTGCAGCAAAGAGGAGGGCTCCCCAGGAAAAGTTGCTCTCCTCTGGGATCGCCACCTTCTCCTCCAGGCTGGGCTCTGTCTCCTCCAGGCTGCTCTTCTCCACCTCCTCCAGCAGCCCAGTCATCTCCATGGTCCGGAGGTCCGCACGCTGCTGCATGCAGACCCGTGTGGCCTCATCCAGCCCATTGCCAACCATGGGCGGGAGCTGGATGGTGCTCAACATCAGGAGAAGCAGCAGGACAAGGACTCTTGTCACAGCCATGGCCCGCAGAAGTAGCAAGAGAGCCGCGAGCTCCCTCACCGCTGGCGCAGGCCGTACTGGGACCGCTGTACTGGGACAGCGCCTTTTATAGCCACCCCCATTGTGATGTGTCCCCTGGGGTGTCCCAGGGGCCGCAGCGCATCACAGACACCCCTTGGGCCCCACCCCGGCTCAGCCACAGCCTGGGATGGTGAATGCAACTGTGTTTGAACAAGATTTGATGGCAAGATGTACTGGGTTCTTTACTGCCTGGAGGCCAAGGTCAGAGAGAACTGTCAGAGAGTCCACCAGGACTCTCAGGCCTTTCTCCTCAGAGCTGGTCTCCAGCAGGGCAGCCCTCAACCTGTACTGGTGTATGGGCTTATTCCTCCCCAGGTGCACCACCCTACACATGCCCTTTTTGAAGTTCATCAGTTTCCTCTCTGCCCAGCTCTCCAGCCTGTCCAGGGCTCGCTGTATGGTGGCACAGCCCTCTGGTGTGTCAGCCACCCCTCCCAGTTCTGTATCATCAGCAAACTTTCTGACTTGCAGACTAATGAAAAACAAACGTCTGCCTACTGCTCCCATTAAGATGAGCACCAGTGTGAAAGGGGTCATCCTTTTTGTGTTACCCAAAGGAAAGGGTACTTTGCATTGTCTGGCATTAAGCCACATAGAGAAGCAGACCTGGATTTTAATGCTTGAGTTGGCTTGGGAGAAAGGAGTGTTGTGAAGCCAGGAGTCAGTGAGCTGGAGAAGTGGGAGGAGAGGAAAATTGTCTGCTTTTGGTGGCACTAGCAACATAAAACTACTGGCAGTGGGCTGCAGACGGGAAGCTTGGAGTGCATGGGGTTTTTTCAGTTGCTGGGGAAACTTAGGAAGTGGTACAGCCTGTTTCTGAAGAGCAGGGACGTGCAAAAATCTCCTGTGTAGAGTGACAGTTGTCACTGGCAAGTGGTCTTCTTGCCCAGGCTCTGGGAGAGTCTGTCCTTCCACCAGAGAGGTCAGGACCTCAGCATCAGAATTACTCTCTGTCAGTTGAGGCGTGAAGCCCAAACTGGCAGAGAGTAATTCTGAAAGGAAGAGGTCTCTAAAGCCATAGCTGCTTGGCTTATTAACTCCTAATTAATGTGAGGTTGTAGGAATGAAATAAAGAATCCCTTGTTTTCTTTGCACAGATTAATGTAATGTAAATTCATGGTAAGAAGCTGTGGAAAATATTACCCCTGTGAGAAATGATTTTTTTTCAAACTGTCTTGCTTTGAAAGCATGCTTTGTGGAGCTTGGGTAGAATTCGAAACCTGTTGTTTCCATAGTTAAAGAAATAATTAGTTGTTCTTGACTTTTAAAGCCACATGCAACTGGTGACCTTTAATTTTGTCCCCTTCATCCATTACACTCAGTGTATAACAATGCTGTGTTTTCTCCCATTTATTCCTGCCAGATGCGCTAGCTTGTGGAATAATTCACTTTCAAACGTGTCCATCTGCTTTGGCTACATCAAAGACGTATTTTAGACTTTAGGCTGTTTAAAATCTTTTTTGAAATTTAAGAGCTCATTTTGTTGCTTTTGGAGAAAGAGTGTGGGAGGGCATGCCTTGCTGTAGGCCTGTAACGCATTGGGATAAACTCTCCTTCCTTTTCCATAGCCAACATCTTAGTAACAAAATGGGCTGGAGTTCATCCACTGCAAGAAGTGTGACAGTCATGTACCTTCTCAGACCTAAGGGAGAACAAATGTGATTAAAAGTATGTGTTCCTAATTGTATTTTGACTCCGTGTGATTTTTTTGTTTGGTTTTCACACAGTCCCATGTTTGTGAAGACTTGCTCATGGTTCTTATTTTATTTCTACAGTTTGCAACTTCATGTCTCATGAAAAGTGCCTCAAGAATGTCAAGATACCATGCTCGTGTATTGCTCCCAGCCTTGTAAGGGTGAGTAAGCGCACACTGCCTTGTCTCCTTCTTGGGATAATAGCACAAATTTGTCACTAATGAACATGGTGTAGTACAGTGGTGGCTTGTTACTATTGTAATGCTTAAATCAATTGTGTTGATTTTATAGCTGGTCAAAGGAAAAAATACATTTCCTTTGAAAAGTCCCTGCTATGGCCAACTGTGGATAGTCTGTCTTTGAAGAGCAGTTACTTGCATTCTTTAAATATTACTAGATGTTCTTACTTGTGTGTCATTACCTGGAAGCCTTGCAGTAATGGACTGGAGTGACTGATTGATATCAGTGTTCTCAGAAAACCCTGTTGTGTGCCATACTAAAGAAAAACTCTGTACACCACCAAATTTTTTACAGCAATTACATTGTACTGAGAAAATACTTAAAGCTTCTCTGCCTAGCAAAGGGGCTGTGTTTGGCTTCTGGTGATTGCTGCATCTTAAAAGTTTGCTTGTTGGTAACAAAATGAAATTTATTTATTTTCAGAATTAATAAAGTACTTGCTTTCAGATGCCCTTTGACTTTTTCTCCCACCAGACTTCGTGCTTAAGAGATTGGTTTTAAAGTGTGTGAAAGATGAATCAGCTTTAAAGAAGGTAGTAGGATGCCCTGAAGTTATTAAGAAGCTAAGTTGAGGAAAAGCAAAGTGTAATAACCACTGGGGAAAGGATGACAGAAAAGGAAAAAAGGGGAAGAAGCAGATGAGAAACTTACTAGAGAAACAGTAAAATACTACAAATACCCTAAGGAGAGCCATATGCATAAATCAAATGAGACATGGCTGTAAAATCAGAATCATGTGCATTACAGACCTTGCTGACTAAAAGCACATTTATGGGAACACATTGTGTAGGCCAGGCAACCTGTGAAGGGAAACTGGTTCCCTTCTTTGTATCCTAAAAAGCTTTACAAGTTCTTTTACATTATGGGAACCTATCTAGGGGGTGGGATGGGAAAGTTTAAAACAATACGTAGCCTGACTTACAGGAATTGCATAGAGAGAAATTAGCCACTTGTTTTTCCTAAATTTGCTTTGTGTAGATGATAATGCTGTTAGGCTTTGCTACATACTTCTTCTCCCACACATACTTTTCATCTTGAGAGGTATAACTCAGGTGGCAAACTGGTGTCTGATACATAGAAAGCTGCCAGGGAAATAGTTAGAAATACTGTTCTGAGAAACTGCAGTAAAGAGACATATAGATAGTGAGGAATGTTGTTACTAAGAAATAGCATCTAGAAATGGTTCAGTGTGCCGGACATCAGTCATGGTAGCATGGGAAAAGGAACAATAAGTCAGATGATAGGAGGTATCTTTGCAAGGGCCTTTTGGGGAATGGTACAAATCAACTGGGAAACAATTTAATTCAGAGTGTTGGCACTGTAAACATTTGTGACTGCTTCTTTTGTGAATTTGCTCTACATTTAATTCGTTGGTCAAAATACTATTTGTTCGTTTGCTTTTGCGTGGTAAAGATTTTTCATTTAAGCATATTAATGTTTCCACTTGCATCAGTAATGGATATCAGTGTAGTTTTTTTGTTCTTTTCCCAGTCCCCATTTTCTATGTGCCCCCCACATGTGAATTTTATATAATTGTTTATTGTTTACACATAAAATCTAACTATCTTTGCCCTGCAGTAGAGCTTGTTTTATCTGAGTGGTGTTGTCAGCCCTAAGAGCTGTTTGCAGTTCAGTGTTGCTGTATTTAGCTGCAATGAGTCTTGTGTGTTATCCGTGTTAAGTGATAATGATTGTGTTTTGAAAACACCGGATTGTGCTATTATTTCTGGACAGTCTTGCCCTCCTTGACATGGTTGTCCAAGCTGCATTAATCCCGGTCTGCTGTGCAAGTGAAGTCTGCCATATGGGAGACATCGTTTTGCATGCAGGCTCTGTCGAAGTAAATATTGAACTTGGCATCTGCTTAAGAAATGTAACAGAGCAAAAAACAAATTATAATCGTTTATAGAATGTGTGGAAAGTTTTCTTAATCTCCCTGCTCTCCTTTCAGATTATTTATTATTTATTTATGAAAAGGATCAACGTAGGAGGGAACACTAGTGGAATTTTTTTCTGATAGTTCCTTCTAGTATGTCAATATGCAGTGTATTACAGGGATGAGATTTTTATTTTTTTTTAAATCCCCTGGATTTCGTCTAGAGAAGATGGCAATTGTTAAAGCTTATCAGAATGTGTGTCATTTGATCCTAAGTCAAACTGATCTCTTTCTATGACCATGTGACCTGCTTTCTCGATGAAGGGAAGGCTGTGGACATTGTCTACCTGGACTTCGGTAAGGCTTTTGACACCGTCCCCCACAGCGTTCTCCTGGAGAAACTGGCGAATCATGACATAGACAAGTGTACCCTTCTCTGGATAAAAACTGGCTGGATGGCCATGCCCAGTGAGTTGTGATTAATGGGGCGCAATCCGGTTGGCGACCAGTCACCAGTGGTATTCCTCAGGGCTCAGTTTTGGGGCCAGTCTTGTTTAATATCTTTATTGATGATCTAGGTAAGGGGATTGAGTGCACCCTCAGTAAGTTTGCAGATGACACCAAAGCTAGGTGGGAGTGTTGATCTTTTTGAGGGTCAGAAGGCCCCACAGAGGCATCTGGACAGGCTGGATCAATGGGCCAAGGCCAATGGGATGAGGTTTAATAAGGCCAAGTGCTGGGTCCTGCATTTCGGTCACAACAACCCCAGGCAATGCTACAGGCTTGGGGAAGAATGGCTGGAGAGCTGCCCAGCAGAAAAAGACCTAGGAGTGTTGGTGGACAGCCAGCTGAACATGAGCCAGCAGTGTGCCCAGCTGGCCAAGAAGGCCAACAGCATCCTGGCCTGTATCAGGAACAGCGTGGCCAGCAGGAATAGGGAAGTCATTGTGCCTCTGTACTGGGCACTGGTGAGGCCTCACCTTGAGTGCTGTGTTCAGTTCTGGGCCCCTCACTTTTTTTTTTGGTGTTTTTTTTTTTTTTTTTTTTAAGGTTGGACTCAATGATCTCAAAGATCCCTTCCAACTGTGAAGATTCTGTGATTCAGAGAATAATTTTTCAGCAGGTGTTTCATGGAAATTTCTATTCCTGAGAGTAGGATTCACTTCCCAAGGTCAAGTAAAGACCCATAGAGTCGCAAGTGTGCCATGACTGCTCCAGCCTCAGATCAGTCTTGATGAGTTCACTCTTATGGCTGCCCTTACAATTTTTTTTGCACTATTATTAATCATTATCACCTGCATTTAGTATTTCAGACTGGATCTCGATCACGATGGCTGTTTCGAAACAAGACTTCATCGATCAGTCTTCTGAACAAGTTTGTGTTTTTATGGTTTGCAGGGGATATGATTTGTTTCACTGGTAAGGTCTCAGCAATTTTTCCAAATTCAAATCCTCTCTCCCCTACATTCCCATAAGTATTTGCCTACTCTGAGGTATGGTTTAAAAAAACCAAACCCAAACAAAAACAGACAAACAAAAAATCCCCAACAAAAAATGAAATAACAGTGAAACAAACCCTCTGATTGTGTGTGAAATGTGAAGTTTTATTTTCCCCTATTAGTTTGGAATTGAAGCTGTATTACAAGTTTTTTTTTACCCCTTAGATTTGCCATAGAAGTGCACGTGTGTTTTCTACATAACTGTTCTTCAAAAACTAAATGGAAATGAGAGTATATTAAAAGTGAATTTAGGGAAGTTTGGCATTTGCTCTGATTGTTTTTCCTTCTTGTCGTTTTGTTGGTGCATTGCTGTGATGGTTTCTAAACTTTTTGAGTTCAAGAAGGGTTGATAGGCTTCTCATGAAACTTTCTTGCATGCTTTTGTTCATAAAGCCAGGTTGTCTAGAAGGGAAAAATGCTGTTTTAGGTCATCTCCTTCTCCTGAAGTTTTCTATGCTAAAAATAAAACTTGGCTGTGTGGTACAGATCATGGGTAACCACTGTGTTCACGGGCTGTGACAGTGACTGGGAAGGTTGTGGTGCTCGCAGAGGTGCTCTGCATTGCCCTTGCCTGCTGACCTAAATCTCTTCCTCTGGCTGCTGGATTCCACTGTGTGCAGGTGGTTATTTGGGTCAGTTCCTCATGAACTGAAAGCAGAAGAGAGGAAAAAACCATGAAGGTTTGATTGCTGCTTCGCTTGCCTTGGAATAATAAATCCCCCCCATCTCTTTCAACTGTCAGAAATGTCTGGTGGGTTTTTGTGTGAGTGCCTTGGAGAATTAGCTTTTAATAAATGCTGTTGCTAGTAGTTCATAGACATTTTAACAAATGGGAAAGGGCTTGGCAAGCTGGGAAGAAGAATTTGATGCAGTTGGGTTGAGTGGGAGTTCTGGAGTTCTGGAGAGTATAGGGGAAAAAATCAGAGCTGGGAAGTCATTCCTTGGTGGTAGTTTCAGGTGTTGGAGGTTTTATATGAACAGGGGTTATAAAATGCTGCAGTGAATGCTTGCTGAACTTTTACTGGTTCTCCCAGCAGACTGTCATTGTCAGAGAAGACACGCTGAAATGCAATGTTTGTAAATAAGCTCATGGGCATATTATTGTTACATCTCATCTTCAAATTACTGTGTATTTGGCATGCATCAATCAAGGGAGTTTTCATCCTGCCCCTTTTGTATATTTTTTGGTAATGGTGATTCTTAGATTGTTAACATGAGCTTGACTCTCAAAATACATGCTTAATATTTTTCATCTTTTGTATTATATATTATAAAACAGGTTTGGTAAAGTTCTTTCTCTGTCTTCTTCCCATTTTATTTATCTGTGGCAAAGAGGCTTTGCTGGTCTGAGAGTTTTTTCACAGGGTGTCCTAACAAAGGTTGGAATCCACACCAGTCTTTTTAGCAGGGCCTGTTGCAGTAGGACAAGGGGTAATGGTTTTAAACTTAAAGAGGGTAGATTCAGACTAGAGGTAAAGAAGATGGTTTTATGATGAGGGTGGTGAAACGCTGGAACAGGTTGCCCAGAGACGCAGTAGATGCCCCA